GAATGGATTTTCCAGATCACCTTGACTGGAGCTAAAATACAAAGCCTGGGTATTTTCTGGGGGATTCCAGAAAAGGAAGATTGTAGAGATATCTACTGTATTAGACTTGGCTCTAGGAGAGACCAGAATGAGGGGATGAGAGGGAGAGAGGGAAGAGAAAAAGGAAAAGAGAAGCAAACTGAAAGCAAGGGAAGTGGAGGGAAGACTATCCCATGAGAATTTCTAGTCACAACTGCACTTACGGTGTTTGGTGGCTGGAATTCACATAACTTTGCATGTCCTAAAATCTCATAAGTAAATTGTTTTTATTGGCTAAAATTATTTGTAACATTTCTTTTATTATTCTTTTAATATCTAGTATGATGTGTAGTAGTAATTCCTTCTTCAATCATCATTTTGATTCTTTGTATTTTTGTCTTTTCCCTTGATAGGTCTTACTAGAGCTTTATTAATTTTATTAATCTTTCCAAAACGACTTTAAGATGGGTTGATTTTCCCTCTTGTTTCTGTTTTCTATTTTATTAATTCTGCTCTTGCTTTCATTAATTACTTATTCTTATTTATCTTGGGCTTCATTTAATCTTCTTTTCCTAAATTCTTAATTTGTCAACTTAGATAATTGACTTTGAATCAGAACTGCATTATTGATGGAACAGCACAATAGATACCCACTCGTGTAAAAACACCCACAGTTAAAGCTCATAGCTCTTTATTCTTTTCTAAAATAAACAAGTAAAGGTAAAAATTCCCCCTATTTTCTCTTTAGCTGCATGACACAGCTTTTGCTATATGTCATTATCAATAAGTTTGAAATATTTTCTAACTTTCCCTGTAATTTCTTATTTCATCTGTGGGTTATTTAGATGTGATTTGTTTAGATTACAAGTATTTAGAGTGTTTCATGCTGTCTTGTTATTATTGTTTTCCAATTTAGTTCTGCGTTGGTAAGAGAATATATTCTTTTTTTTTTTTAAGTGAGACAAGACTTTATTCAAATGAACAGACAAAAGTAAAAGCAAAACAAGTACTGAAAGAATAGGCAGGTTAACAGCAAAAAATATTTACCAAATATCATACTACAAATCAAAAAGTCTAATTACATTACACAAAGACCCAGCACTAATGGCAAAGATAACACATAGAAAGCATATTTAATTTTAATGTCATGAAACTCAAAGATATAATTATGGGTAGCAAATGATAACTTATATGATATTTGAAGTTTTTGTTTCAAAGTTTTTGTGTTCTATTCATTTAGTTCTTTGTCATCGTTGCATGTACTTTTAATAAAATGTTTAAAATAAAAAAAAAATTAATTTGCCAACAAGAATCCTACAAAACCAGTCACAGGTCAAATTGTTGATTCGTGTGGCAGCAAATGTGAAGAACAAACAGAAATTGTACACAAAAGGCCGGTCTTGGCATCTCACACCTGTAATCCTAGCACTTTGGGAGGCCTAGGCGGGAGGATTGCTTAAGGCCAGGAGTTTGATACCAGCCTGGGCAACATACTGAGGCCTCATCTCTACAAAAAATAAAAGTTAAAAAGTCAGCCAGGCATGGTGGCACGTGTTTGTAGTCCTAGCTACTTGGGAGGCTGAGGCAGGAAATTGTTTGAGCCCAGGAGTTGTAAGTTGCAGTTCCTTTGAAATTTACTGAGATATAATTTACAACCCAGCACACACACAAAAAAAATGTCCTTCCCCCCTCCCCATGGCTTCCCAGTCGCCCATGGGACATTGTGAACAGTTCTCAGTTCCCTTACTGAAAGGAGGATAAAGTAGCCCATATACTGCCCATTACGGAAGAACCTCATGCCCTCCACTTACACTTCCACAAAGGAAGGCTTTTCTTCCTCTCACCACAAGAAGGAAATATGGGAGTGAACATTTCTCTCTTCTCTCCCCCTTCTCTTCTATATGGGAAGAAGGATCACTAATATAATTGGATACACATTGTCAGGAACAATGGATGCAATGGATGAGGTTATTGTGTTTCAAAAGTACAAAACATGCTTCAATCTGTCTGCTTATGGGGAAGTGCACAAGGATTGAATCAGATTCTTTGAGAAATTTCTCTAATTCATAAATCATATTGATTAAATATATTTAAAAAACTGGAATGCAAAAACCTGCATACCAATTAGTAGGCAAGTATGTACGGAAGGTAAGGATTATTAGGGGAAAAGGAATTGGAGAAGTTAAAGCTTGATGTAGAGATGGGAACATGTTCTCATTAAGAGATCCAGGGAATACTCCAAGCTCAAAATCATTAGAAATGATAACCAAAATTGAAAGCAATCTGTTAGTGAATTGATGAGGTAATTATTCTTGCATTGCCAGAGCACCTGGATCAGTTTAGTAAGCTGTGCACACAAAGTGACAAGAATCTTAGCTCCCTGCAAAATGAAAGAGGTGCCTCTGTATCTCCAAACCCTATAAATGCAGTGGAACCCGATAGAAACAGAGGCAATTCCAAGGTAACTTTGGTTTTCTAAGTTAGAAATAGAGAAAAAGCATGAAAAGGTGACCCCAAAGATCAGCAAAATATACTGAGTCATTTTCGGTTCCGGGTATAAAAGCTGCTCTATTTTAGGAAAAGATGAGGGAATCCAGCTCACCTTTCATTTTCCTCTTGACAGCCTAAAGGGAATTCTGTCCGTTATTAATAGAAAATGCCTGCACAATGACCTACAGAGTCCTATAATCACAGCACAGAGGCGGTGACTTCCACAGAAAACTCACACGAACTTAATTCTCAGCTATGAACGCATAAAAATAAGAATCTACAAATATTTGAGAACAAACATCATGAAAAAGACCACAGTAAACAAGAAAAAAACCCTTAGAGAAAAGATTGAATGCAGAAAAAATGCTTATAAAATATGTAAAATATTTATAAAATACTTTATAAATGTCCTTTTTAATGCATCTTTGAGGTTGCACAGAAGTAAAGGAATATAAGTCACCATGAAAGGTAAGAAAAGGTTAATGCAAACAGCCAGTGCTAACATTTAGATGAATGGCTATGCAGTGTAAATATTGGAATATTTGCACAATATTGGTAAATGTTTAGCATAGGTGATCAAGGAAAACAGAGAAGGCACTAATAAACAATGATAAGAATAAAATAGGAGTAGACTGGCAGACACAGTAGAAAATAAAATACAGTAACAAAATAATATAAAAAAGGTTCTGATAACATATTTAAATGAGAGTAAAATTAAGACAAATTTAGACAAACAAAAACTGCAAACCATTACAAAAGGAAATTTTAAAAGATATACTTCAGGCAGAAGTATACATATCCCACTTGGAAGATCTAAGATAAAAAAACATACTTTTTAGGCTGTGATTCATCTACAAACAAGAAAAATTCCCCAAAATATAGTGGCTTAATGCAGACACAATTTTATTTCTGGCTCCGGTTCAAGATAAGGTTGTTGGCCCAGACAGCGTCAAGAACACAGGCTCTTCCATATTACTGCTCTGCGATCTTCAACTCACCTTTGCATCTTGGGCTCCAAGAAAGCTGCTTCAGATCCCACCATCATATCCACATTGCAAGTGCCAGCAAGTGGTGTAAATGAAAAGACAGAGCAAACTACTTCCTTTGATAGCCTACCAAATGGAAGTACCTCTCGGGTAAAGGAAGTTTATTCCAGTAGATGTGGTGCAACATAGCCTGGGCTTCCCCAGGACAACTTGCCAGAGTTTAAGTCCTGGACCTGGAACCAAGCTGATGAGAATATATAATTCTTCACACAATAACAACTCACACAACCCCTCCATATTTTGCCAGTCAATTTAAAGGCATAATACTCAGTCTCTTGAACAGAAAACTATTCATTAGGAGTAAAATTTACGAAGAAAGAAAGTAGAAAGACCAACTATTCACTCCAGCCCTTCTACCAGTATGAAACCCAAACACAGGATATTCTCATCACCTGTGCATCTTGCCTCAAGGGAGCAACGACTTGACTTCTTCCAGGACTGAACAAAACGTGTTGCTTTTTAGGAACATAAAAGAGGTAAGCCAGATCTTAGGTCAACATCCAACAAATAGGATGCAATGTATCAATTGTGACAGTCTTCTTGTAAGCTTTACCCAGTTCCTATTAGCAGAAAGGCAAGATCTAACTGATGTCACTTCATATGCACTATTTCAGAAAGAGAAACTCATTTGTAAGTGGCATAACTACTTCTACATTTATTAAAGCTACATTTACCAACACCAGAATCTAGTACATTTTATGGTTTTTAGTTCCTAATAATTACATGGTTACTTTTGTTTTGTTAAATCGATACTTATAAAACATACATAAATTCAAAACTTAGTCTTATTTCCTCTTTACCCTAAGCAAAAATATAAATAAATTTAAAAATACAAGCAGACTTTTCTTAAATGAAATCCTATATACATAGATATTTCTTCCTTGAAAAAACAGATCATATCTTATTATTCCTAGGGACTATTACAGTACCGGCACCACTTATGTTTGTTTTAAATAAATAGGTAACACCATATTATAACGAAAGGTGTTTTTTCATATTGTGACCATCTCAATTTCTTTGAAGAGACCTATTGGTACACAGGAGCCAGTGATCTGCAGCTCACAGAAGCAACTTAGAGGTTTTGAAGATACCCTAACCTAAAACCAGGCAAAAGTTGGGACTTTCCCTTCTGATTCCAGATGATGCTGCCTGGTCCATCACTGGGCAAAGGAGGAATGATGACACAGCTAGAGTTGTCCTCTCTTTCTCCTACTGCCAAGTCCCTCTGATACAAGGAGTAGGGAAATGTTGTGATCGGGAGCTAAAGAAAGAATGAAGAAAATATTCTCAAATCCAGCTATCCAGGCACATCCCAGGACGATATGAAGCCAAGTGCTTGTGGGTGTTCTTGGCTCTGGTACCACTAGCACTAGAAGGACTGCTCACTGTGAAATGGCCTCTATCCACATAATCTAGACCAGCCATGTGCTTCTGGCTGTGTCCTTGGCAGGAGCCTCTGAAGAAAATAATTAGGATGTGTTCAGATCAATCCTTTTGTGTAGAACACCCTAAGTACTCTCTGGCGGATCTGTTGAGTCTTCACCCCATAGACAAGAGGATTAAGTGCAGGTGGCAAAAGGAGATAGAGTGTGGCCAGAAGAACATGGATGTGATGGGGTACATGGTGGCCAAAGCGGTGAGTAAGGAAGGAGAACATTCCAGGGACATAAAAAACCAGGATGACACAAACATGTGATCCGCATGTGCTAAAGGCCTTAAGTCGGGCCTCACCCCCTGGTACCTTCAGCACTGCCTGGAGGATGTGGGCATAGGAAATACCAATGGCCAGGATGTCTATCCCAACCACAAGCAGTGCCACAGCCAGTCCATAAGCCCGGTTCACTGTGGTTTCTGAGCAGGCCAGTTTCACCACAGCCATATGTTCACAATAGGCATGGCCTATGATAGTGGCCCGGCAGAACGTAAGTCTTCGCAACAGGAAGGGGAAGGGGAGGAGGAGGAGTAATCCCCGCAGCAGCACTGCCACTCCAATGCACCTGATGGCCCCTGGATGCAGGATGATGGAATGGTGCAGAGGGTGACAAATGGCTACATAGCGATCCAGGGCCATGGCCACAAGTACCCCTGACTCCATGGAGGAGAATGCATGGATGAAGAACATCTGGACCAGACAGACAATGTACCCAATCTCATAGGCATGAACCAGGAGCACTGCAAAGGCTTTGGGTGCAGTGGAAGAGGCCAGAACCAGGTCTATGGCAGCTAGCATGGCCAGGAAGAGGTACATAGGTTGGTGCAAGGATGGGTCAGTCCAGATAATGAAGAGAATGGTGACATTGCCCACTAGAGCAAGGAGGTAAAGGGCACCCAAGGGCAATGCTATCCAGTGCTGGCTTTCCTCTAAACCCAGAATACCTACCAGGAAAAAAGAAGGCTGGGGCAGCCTCCAGCTGGAATTGCTAAGGGCCATCATAAACGGCTTAGAGAGGAAAGAGGGAAAGAGAAACAAAGTCATGATTTCTCCATTCCTGATACGTTACCACATTGTCCAGATCTGGCTATCATCTTCGTGAGACGAATAAAGAGACTAAAACTGCAAGCAAGGGAATAAAGTTAGATAGAAGGAAAGAAATCTCCTTTCCTGGTGGATCATTTTTTACAGATGAGGCATCCACATGTCTTAATTAGGATAGGTCTAGTTTTATTTAGACATAAGAGTAAACACATGCAGCTCTTGGAGAGATGCTTCAACTCTACCATTCAATAACTTATATTTTGGAAATGGCAACTTCAAAGGATTCTCTTTATTAACCTCTTGCCATTACTGAATACTATAAATCAACCTGTTATTTTTGAAATTAGTCTCCCTCAGTTTCCATGACATAGCACTCTACGGTTGTTCCTCCTGGAGTCCCAGTCTCACCATTTTCCCCATCTCATTATACTGTTAATTTCAGGGTTCCAACCTTTCCTCTCTTCCCAATTCTGTACACTATCTCTGAATTGAGTTCATCCATTCCCATGGTTTTAAATATTTATATACTTTAATTTCTTCCAAATCTATGTTTTTAAGTCAAATATCTTTCTGAAACACAAATCCATTTTTCCATTTGTTTCCTGAATATCTATACCAGGCACTCAACATATTCAACACTGCATTAATTCACATATCCTTCCCAAATCTGCTCTACTTACTTTTTGGCAATATTTTTGTTAATTACATCACTATCTGCCTACGCAATCCAATCTAGAAACTTGGAAGCCATCCTTACTCATTAATTCTCATTCCTTTTACCCATTCACCAATTTGTAATGACTTTATTTTTAATCTTTCTTATATTCACTCATTTTTCTCAACCCCCAGTGTCACTGCCTGAGTTCACATTCTCAACTGCTCTCACCTGGATTGTTCATCACATCTCTCTGCCTTTGCTATAAACCCCTTCCCAATCCACTCTCAACTCTAAAGTCAAGGAGTTTTTCCCAAAATGTAGATGCTTTCATGGCACTCCTGTGGTTAATCCTTCCCTGAAATTAATGCATGGAATAGAATCATACTTTTTAAGGCTGGCATAAAAATTTGTCCAAGTTTATTTTTTGTGTATTGCTTTTGTCCTACAGTTAACATATTCCTATGTATATGTTTTTCTTTAATCATTCCAACATTCTTGAAGTTATATGAGTACACCATTCTATTTTACATATGCTTTTTGTGTATTCTTTTTTCCTCTTCTTTTGTCTGAATTGTTCTTTCAAAATCAGAGTCCACTGTCTCTTGCCCCTCAACAGGATTCATTGACTGTGCTGGGCCAATACCAATTATGTTAGGAGCACTTTATTTTGTCTACCCGTAATTTTCTGGTTTATCTCTATTGTAGAAATTTTTCAGCATCTTAATGGTTTGTTTTAAGAAAAAGCACCATATCTCATTAAACTTTATAATTACAAGCTAGCATATATGGATGCTACATGTTTCTAAAATGGAACAAAGTGGATGTTTCAAAATGTAGTGGTATAAATACTAGTTCTGGAGGAAGACAGATTTTATTTAAATTCTGTTCATTTCATACTCTAGGAATAAACCTGGCAGGCTACTTAAACTCTCAGTCTTAATTTCCTCATCAGGTAGTAGAATAAATAATATCAATCTTACAGGTTAATTATAAGTATTAAGTAATGTATATAAAATCTTGATATATAGGTTAGTCTGTAAATTATAACTATCATTATTGTTAACATTAATAAATAAGGATGATGGAGTATGAGACAATAGGCCTCTTTCCTTTTTTCTTTGTCCCCAGGATTCTGCTTCTTTGTTTCAAATTTTTGATACATCTGTCTCTCATCATGACATTACAACAATTCAGTGTTTCTGAGACTGTCATATTAACATGAAGCACCAAATAAATGGATGCTCTGTTTAACCTCCTCCAAGAGATTCACCCCTTAAGCATTAAAACAAAAAACTTAAAAGAAAATAAAAAATAAAACAAAAAACTTGTAACTGAATATGTCTGTGTCTATACCTTTGTCTTAAAAGACAGATGCAATCTGAAATACTTGTATTTTTCTCTATTGGGGTGATGGTGCACGTGTCTATGTAAAGATAAAAACAGTCAAAAATAACTCAATTTTTGTAAATTATGCATCTAATAAATCAATTAGAGTATTGTTTTTATAAATCAATAATGATAATAATATTGCCCCGCAAGTCTGAATATGACGGCTATGAAGTCTGAAATGCCTGATGGGCATACATATATATCTCCCAGACTTTGTTTTTCTTCCAGAGTCAACTGGAAATAACAGTGACGTTTTTACTGAGACCTCCAGGGGAATCTCATAATCTTCCAAAAATTAACTTTTCAGTGCTTAACGTTCCACATAGTAAGAAAGTTGATTCTCTTCAGAGCAACTGCCCTTCTGCCCATTTCTCATTTTTGGCTGCGAAGTCAGAGAACAGCTGTGCATTGTGGAAGGCGCCACGGCTATAACAGGAGCAGTGTGAGTGGAGCAGTGGGGCTGAAGCCAGACTGCAGAGGGTGAAGCAGAGCAGCAGAGACACATGTGCCTGAGGACAGCCTGCCTCTTCTTCCTGCTGCATGGCTTGTGAGCCTACAGCAAAAGCCCGAGCTGCTTATTAAGCATTAATTATTAAAGTAAACAAGAGCTCTCTCTGTGATTCTTCAAGGAAAAGCAGAAGGAATTTTATTCCCCAAAACTTAAGGGTGAAGTTCTATTTAGCTCTCTGACCAGGAAGCAGAGAACAATTAGCAAAGAACTGCTGTTTTTCAACTCCTGCTTACTCATGTAAATTCAATCCAAGCAACCTATCTTCTGTGAAGTTGTGTTTGAATTCTGTAAGGCAGCAGGGTATGTCTCCTTTTCCTCTCTGTCATAATCCCTTTTCCACTTTCTAATTGCATTGATGACCTCAGCCTCTAAAACCCAGCAGTGAGTCAGTCCTTGAAGAGTAGGGACTATGCCTTGTGTACTGAGACAGCCTCAGAGCTCCAAAAGCACCTGGAATCTAGTCAGTTCTCAGTAATGGTGGCTGAATAAATAAGCATCCTGACCAGATTAAATAATAAATAAATACATGTGTATCTTAAAGACTGGGAATCATGGGAACTTGACAAGGCAGAGACTGAACTTAAGAGATAGGAATAATACCGCAGACATTATTTGAGGTGTGTATGGACTGAGCTTACAAGTCCCTCACCTTAAATGATGCTCTGGATGCTTCATGGCAGAAAAAGCCCTACTGAACTTCTGTGCCATAAGGTGATAATGACGTGTGTCAGAAATAAGGGGGTTTCGGCCGGGAGCGGTGGCTCACGCCTGTAATCCTGACACTTGGGAAGGCTGAGATGGGAGAATCATTTGAGATCAAGAGTTTGAGAACAGCCTGAGCAATAGTGAAACCCCATCTCTAATAAAAAGAGAAAAAATCAGCCGGGTGTGGTGGTGCGTGCCTATAGTCCCTGCTAATCGGGAGGCTGAGGCAGGAGGATCTCTTGAGCCCAGAAGTTTGAGGTTGCTGTGAGCAAGGCTGACGCCACAGCACTCTAGCATGAGTGACAGAGCGAGACTTTGTCTCAAAAAAATAAATAAATAAGAAAGAAAAGAAATAAAGGGGTTCCTGTGGTCACTAGTAGTCACTTGTACCACTGCCTTTAGCAGACAGGGAGGCTCCTCAAGGGGACATGATCTGTCCCTCTTTCCTTAATCTCCATAACAGTGGCCTGAACTCTATGATAGTGGGGGAGGAGGGAAGGACAGGCAAGAACTTAGACCAAGAGAGATTAGGGGAAGGCACAGAAATAGTGGGTCCATGATAATGACCTAATTAGAGAGAAAGATATAGAAATCAAGCACTCAAAGGTTCAGCACCAGAGAACAAAGGTGAGACACACAGATAATCAATGAAATAAGCCTGGCCTGGGGACACCGTTCTCCTGCTCTCTGGGCTGCCTTTCAGGATGCACTCTTTCAAGTCTTGAGTCAGCCTTGAGGGAGAATCATAAACATGGAGAAAACTTGGACCAGGAGAAAATTCCCAGACTCAGGAAGGTTCCACTACAGCCCTCCCTGCTCAGCTCCAGGAACACCCTGAGCTCCCAGTTCAGTCTCCATGATGACCCTGTGCCCTGACTTGGGAGCAACAATAAGGAAGAGGATTTTTTTTATTTAGAAGGGGTGCATAGCACTCTCTGGATGCCAAAGAGGAAATCAAACGCATCACCAGAAGTCTGTGCAGCTAAAGTTTTCCAAAGATACGAAAAATGAGTGCTAGTTCTGGCAAGACTTGGGAAAAGGGGGTAAATCAGCTGTATTCGTATGCACTATATATGATACTGAGGATACCAGCCTAGGATCATGCTAAATGCCCCTATGAATGCCTCAGGGTGACCAGGACGGTTTAACAGGATTGGTAGGTATCTGTAAACTCACAGGGTAGCTTGCAGCAATGTGCCTTCCCTTAATCTCTCTCAGTCTATGTTCTCATCTCTCGCTTTTCCACACTATCATGGAGTCCAGGCCACTGTTAAGAAAGTGATCTACAGAATTAATGCAATCCCTATCAAAATCCCATTATCATTCTTCAGAGATCTGGAAAAAATAATTCTATGCTTTGTATGGAATCAGAAAAGACCTCGTATAGCCAAAGCAATCTTAAGTAAAAAGAACAAACTGGGAGGTATCAGTTTACCAGACTTTAAGCTGTACTACCAGGCTG